GGCAAATATGTTGATGTTTGAAACAGAAAAAAAAAACGACGAGATTTTTGGAGAACTAGAACAGTGAGAATTTTGAACAATGGGATTCTTACCTGACAAACTATGGGTTGTAAAGATTTGTTGGAGAAAAACACGACTGATGAGAAGATTTAGGGCTTTCGTCCTATCTATTTTCTTACAAAATTACAAAAGTGCCCATGTTCGCATGTGGAACATAGGCACATGTATTTGTTATTTTGAACTTACCGTGGCAAGAATTGCAAGAAGCGAGAATCATGATTATTAGAAGTGTATTTTGTTTTGGCAACTTTTTGCAATATTTTTATAAAATAATAAAAATAAGATATTTTTTTGAAGAATATAAAGGAAGGGTAATGATACTATTCATTGTCTTCCTTGCCTCTATATTCATTCGAATACACTCTTCATTAGAGAGGTGGAATAGGGCACAATTGGCATTCTCCTTCGCGGTTGCTGTTCCGATCTTGAGAGCTCTCACCAGGGGCTTAATTGCTTCACATGGCTCTCTTCAGTCGAGTGAAGCTTTGCATTTATACTATTCTGGCCGTACATAACAATATGTTTACAGAATTACAAAAATACCCCTGCGGGTATTAAGTCTGTGAACAATACATATATTACACCTGTTAACACTCCCCCTCAAGTCGGGGCATAAATATCAATCATGCACAACTTGTCACAGAGACCTTGATGTCTGGAATGGTTTAGCCCTTTTGTAAATAAGTCTGCTAGTTGGTCTTCAGAGCTGATGTATGGAGTGCATACTTCGCCTGTGATGATTTTCTCTCTGATAAAATGCTTGTCAACTTCAATGTGCTTTGTTTTATCATGTAGTACCGGGTTGGCAGCGATACTGATAGCTGCCTTGTTATTCAATGTTTCTGGAATAATAAACCAGCACCCGGGAACTTCTTAAGATACCGAAGTACTCTCTCTGCTGCTTCAAGATGGGTGGACCTAAGTGCATGCATGAACTGGCTGAGGACACCAACAACATATGCTATGTCTGGACGAGTCATAGAGAGGTACAACAATCTTCCTACAAGCCTCTGAAATTKCTTCACATCCTTAAGAGGTTCACCTTGGCTGTCACTTAACTTATGGTTGGGGTCAATGGGAGAGTCAGCTGGTTTAACCCCAATCTTTCCAGTGTCCTTAAGCAAGTCTCGGACATAT